AATATAACAAAGAGTGAAAAATTTAAGGGGGTCTGAATACTTTTCGTACCCACTGTAGCTCCTCCAACGTGTCCTAGGTCTTCCCCGGGGCCTCCTCCTGGTGGGACATGCCTGGAACACCTCCCTAGGAAGGTGCCCAGGAGGCATCCGAAACAGATGCCCGAGCCACCTCAGCAGGCTCCTCTCGATGTGAAAGAGCAGCGGTTCTACTCTGAGCTCCACCTGAGTGACCGAGCTCTTCACCCTATCTCTAAGGGTGCGCCCAGCCACCCTGCAGAGAAAGCTCATTTCGGCCGCTTGTATCTTTCGGTCATGACCCAAAGCTCATGACCATAGGTGAGAGTAGGAACGTAGATCAACCAGTAAATCGAGAGCTTTGCCTTGCAGCTCAGCTCCTTCTTCACCACGACAGACTGGTACTGCAGAAGCTGCATCGATCCGCCTGTCAATCACATAAGAATCCATTCTCCAAATGAGTAATTTTACTATTGATACATTAAGTACATTTTGCATCCATTTATTTGACAGTTTTCCAGTTTACAGGGTTTTATAAACTCTAAAAAAGTGATGGGCTAATTTTTTTCCAGTGTATTCCCTCATGTATCAGTGTGGACGGCTTTCCTGCACTTTGAGACAAAATGCATTTGTGGAAAAGCAGCTTTTAGTGGCAAAACACAACTGATAGATTTATTGAGTTTTACACATTAGTGTTAGCACATGTGTGTGTGTGTGTGTGTGACTGAGTATGAGCTTGGTGCATTATGCATCATTATGGAGCATCATGAGTGGATGTCACTGCCTCTTACGGATAATGGAAGACTGTTATTATGAACACACACATATACACGTGTACATTTTATGCACATGCACAGGATGACAAACTTTAGGTGCACACGCAGGCATGATGTGTATGTATACACACACTGGCCATTAACTGAGAGTTTCCTGTTTCCTATTTCTCATTCATTTTTCTGGGAAAGTTTTATTCTCCATTGCTGCTGGTCTCTGTCTTGTCTGCTCAAGTGTGTGTGTTTTTTTTCTTGAATGTAAAGTATTTCCAATTCAAGACTTAGATTTTCAGACCCTGTGAGTCAGTGTCACTTTTTTATTATGAAAATTTTTTATTTGAACACATTCCGTTCAAGCTCACATCAATACTGTCACTGATGGATTAGTGGAATATCATTTAGCCTCACACTCAAGGAACAATACTTGGGGTGAGCTTTCCCTGCAAAACAACACCTTTGTGAGAATTTTAAGGAAGAAATTGAGGTTTAACTAAGAGGTTAACTGAAAAGTGGTAAATTCATTGTGGGTTGCGGTTAATCCCTACAGGAGCTCAGGGTTAAATGAGAAACCGTCCATAGTCTGCTGTGCTCATTTGCACAAGTGTGATTAGTGTTAATATGGAAATGAACCACCCTCGCTCTGCATTTGCATAGGTGTGAAAGGGAGTGTGCTCTCTAGTGCGCTGTCTCATATTTCCATTTTATATGTGTGTTTTGGGAGTTTTTTTTTCAGTAAGGAAAATGATTCACCTCATAATTTGCATTTTTTATGAGAAAAGCTCAGATAGTCTAAAACTGTTCATTTCTTTGTGGCCTTGTGTTTAGTTGTGGCCAATAAAACTGACCTAATGACCTGAAAGAGAACGTGCTGACCCTTTAACATTTCATGCCCGCCTTCATTCACTTTGGATCTACCAGGTTATATTGTATTAGTATAGTTATATCATATTCATGTAAAGTCAACTAACTAGCTTCCGTGGCTAATGTAACTTAGCTAATTCAGTTTGTCTTAGCTACGTTATCCATTTCTTTACTTGTAAACTCAGCTACATCCTGCTGTCTCTTGTTACCATTCACAAAAATTATTCCCTAGTAAATTTATAGCCTATTTCATGTATGCTTTGTGGAGGCTAACCTTATCATAGGCTGTAACTACCGTCCAGAGTTGGCGGTACAGAGAAATAACCAATCAGCAGTTTGATTAGCTTGGCGATGCTGCCAATCATGCACAAGTTCAACCAAACACTGACTGTTGGTGGACAGGTCATTCCTGTAGCCAGCTTACATTTCATTTTGAGATCAAGTCACTTCCGTTATTTTTACATTCATTCTGATATTATTCCGTAATAACACTTCCGCAAAAACATTTTGGCACTGTGCCTAAGCCTTTCTATGGTAGGGAAACCCCTAGCATTAAAATGGAAAATTGGAAAATATGCCTGGACATGCTGTAGGCCTACATCCACAACTTGTTTAATTTTTTCATTATGTCACAAGGTGGTTACCCTGGGCGACATCCCTGATGGCACCTTGGTAACAGTGATGGCAGGAAATGATGAGAACTACTCAGCAGAGCTTCGTAATGCCACGGCTGCCATCAAGAACCAAGTGGCTAGATTCAATGATCTCCGCTTTGTTGGCCGCAGTGGAAGAGGTACACACACATAAAAACACACAAATACAGTGAAAATATGAATGCAAATGATACAAAATAATCACATATGGGCTAAAATGGTACGAAGAGCACAACATAGACCTTTAAAGGATAAAGCCAGTCATTTTCAATATTAAAAGTATTTCAAACACTCCCCATACAGAGATTAAAATGAACAATGAACTGTCTTTACTCATGGGAAATGTCTGTCAGTTTGGCAGTCCTGGATAACCCTATATGTCTGCTCCATAAACCTCCGCTGTTGTTCAGAAATGATTACAAGCACATCAGTGAGACACCCCCTGTATGGGGAGTGTTTGAAACACTTAATATAAAAAATGACTGGTCTTATGTTTTAAAATGTTACATTAGTTGAAATGTAATAGATGTGCTTTGCACAAGTGCATAGCTTAGCATGGATAAATTAGGGGAAGTACATATGAATAAAAACAGTATTCAGCAACTTCCCTATAACACCCCATTCAACTTCTACCTCCCTCTGTCTTTAACTGCCACGGTTACTCTAAATCAGGTGCAGGCAAATGTCCAAACTTATCTATTTAAAACACCAGTCCTGTGTACACAAGCTCACACACATACATACACAAAACATATATAAGAATGACAAGCAGTCCCCAGCTGAATGGAAATATGGGTATAAATATCAATATGGGCAGATTCCACTGTCCTGCTGTTGAAAAATGAGCACATTAATAATTTATGTGCCGTAGAATTCAAATGAAGAAAGCTGAAGGGTAGAAATTTGTTTTCATGCAAATTTAACAGCACAGAATACAGTGAGGTTCATTTGCCCAGCATCACTATATATCAGGAGTATTGTGAGATACAAAACATGCTGGGAATTTTTTTTAAAGAAGCTTTATAGCTGGTGCAGAGTGGTTAATGCAGGAAATCCCTACCAAATGCCTTTAGTCATATATGTTCTAATTATTAACTGTATTATATATTTTCATTGCATCCCTTTCTTTCTAAACTAAGGGTAGAAAGAAAAGGGGGAGGGGCAAATGATGGTTAAACATCATTTACCTTGTTTATATAAAATATGTAAATAATATATTATATAAAATAATATAAAAGCTCTGTAATTTCCAAAAACAGCAGGTCACTATAGTTTCCTTAAACAGAGAATGTGAAGGTATATCTTTGGGAAGTATGTACTGTATTTACCTGCATACATTCTTGTTTTGTTTGGCTAAAAAGTTGCTTAAACCATTTAGATCTCACTTTACTGACTGTGGTATAGAATGGATAAGCTTAGCTGACTGTAGCTAACCCGTAGTGGACCTAGAGAGACGAGAGCGACAGACTGAAAAGTGTCTCTGCTCCCTGATCTCAGCTATCAGTTCAGGACCTAACACTAGCTAGTGGCTGTTGGCAGATAACACAAACACTGTAGATGAATTAATTTTGGTCCTGTCTGTGCTCAAACTGAACACTAAAATAGATGTTTGGATGCAGTTGAAGCATCCGCTACTGTATGCAATGTATACATTACATACAGTAATACAGTCTGTGATGGATAATGAGCATGATCTCACCAAAATGGCACATTTACCCCAAATTCAACATATATTGAGTGCTGCTTTGAGCTTGTGCATGGGATTTATTACTAACGTCTGGCCTGTCAGTTATGTTTCTCTCTCCTAATATGATGAGCGTAATGAGCTTAACGTAGATTTATAATGGAGGATACTATGTTGTTTCGAAAGCTTTTCCTCCCTGATTTCTGAAGGAAACTGACTACCTTAAGGATTTAATGAGTTGTATATCAAGCCACAAGTTGAGCAACTTCTCCACCTAAAACATTTAACTGTCATTAACTGTCCATGTAGGAAGTGGTTAGTTTAGCTGCCAACACCAATGAGTGGTTTAGTGGTTTGTCTAGTGGTTTCTCTGTGTGTGAGAACTAATGTAAAGGTTCTCAGACTTAGTTCATTAGTCACTCTTCCTTGTTCTGCAGAAGCACTTAGTTACACCACAAACACACAGTGATACACTTATGATTTGTGCAGTTTTTACATCAGCTTATAGCTACAATGTAGCAGTCATTTCTAGAAGGCAGTGTGAATTCATCTGTTTCACTTTCAAGGCCATGATTTCCACAGTCAGTTTTTAGTTAAACAGTTAAGATAAATCCTATTCTTAAATATGGGTTAACTGAACATTTCTGATAGAGTAAATAAAAATATATTTTTATAAGGTTTCACCTATACTACACTGCCTTATGTGATTGTATTGTGAACCTTCAAATTTGTGACACTCACTTTCCATCACAACACAGTCATTAACCTATATTTGTTTATTTTGTCAGATGACGTTATTCATAAAATAGTGCCTCAGTAGTCACCATTAAATGCAGCTGTCCATGAAGTACCGTTAAATGGGGGTCCTTTTCTCCAAAATGTTTTGTGAGCAGTGCTTACATGTAGATCACAAGTAGCAGCAGCATCACATTTCACAGATGAATGAATGCCACAGGGATCTTGATTGTGCTGGCTTTTGTTGGTTTGTTTATTTGCTGGTTTATTCACAGCATAAAAGATATGAATGGACTTTGATTAAATGTTTTGGAGAGGAAAGGTATGCTCCACGGAACAATCAGTTAGATTTTGGTGCTGATCCGGATCATCATCTGAATCCAGGATTTCTTTAAAGGATTCTTCACCTTTATGAGATAGGGCCAGTTTCAATATTTTTGCCTCTAATTACATTATGTCGACAGGGCCGGCCCAGGTTCTGTTGGTGCCCTAGGCAAGATTTTAGATCCCCCCTTAAAAAAATTTAGAAAATGCTGATTTTTTACTGATAAGTATTAACATAAATAAGTAGTAAATAATTTGTGATAATAAATAAATTTGACTTAGTCACCTGAAGAATCACACAAAAATTAAATTAGAAATTAAAGTGCAAATCAACAAAAAAGTGCAAAAAAATACTATTATATTCAGAATTACAGAACAGTTTCAAAGCTGAACACGCCTGGATTACTTTGCAGCAAAGTCATCAATGACTGCATCAAATGACAAATTCTGAGAAACATCATTATTGATGCTGTTGACAGCAAGTCCACTGAGATGCTCTTGGGCCATGGTAGACCTCAAGTAGGTCTTAATCAGCTTGAGCTTTGAAAAGTTCCTCTCTGCAGCTGCCACATTCACTGGGATAGTCACACTTATCCTCAGTGCCACCCACATCTACTGTATATTGTTCTTTTTTCTGTTCCTCTTCTTTGCGTCGCTTCCTGCCTTGTGCCCCTGATAATTTTCTTTTTTCACTTATTTTTTAAAAATGGCACTTTCAGAGCACATATTTTAACTGTGTGCTCCAACATCTGTCAATGCGTTATGATGATGCATTATAATTACGTCATGAAGCAGAAAGTGTTTAAATTAGTACAACATGTTTACAAATCTTATGGTTTTTAAATGATGTCAATTTTATTTTATTCTAACATTATTTTAATCACTACAGATCAATCAGTACTAAAATTGTTAACTGTCAGTAATTATTTTGCTTATGGGTGTAGGAGCACATGCTGGTCACAAAACAAAACTTTCATCCCCCCCCATTGCCACGGACTCATTTTGCGACCTAGGCAACTGCCTATTTCACCTATGCCCCGGGCCGGCCCTGTATGTCAACAATGCTTGGAAAAAATACTGCAAGATAGCATCCATATGGGATCTACCACACACCAAAGTCTGATCTGGATCCAAGTCATATTCTGGATCTCTTGATCTAGAATCTTCAAATTTATAGTGCTCATGGAAAACTTGCTACTGTGAGACAAAAAAATAATGCTGCCGATTAAGATCAAACTCTAGCTGAAACTCTGACTCAGAAGGGTGTCAGCAAATTTCACAGTAACTTTTGGAGATATGAGCTGGATCCTGAAGAAAATCACCTTTACTGAAATATTGTTTTTCTTGGATAACTTTCAAACCACTAATGATATCAGTGTGATTCCAAATGCTAGGCTTAGGTTTTCATGATCATGGACTCATATATATACACACACAGTATATATATATAAGAAAAAAAGGTGATGGCAGAGCACAAGAGGGGACAGGTTATGTTTAACCAGCTGAGACTCAGTACACTACCATGGACACACTGCAAACAGAGTGAATCTGCACTAAAATAAATGGCAGACAAACAAGCAAACTTGTCAATAGATGGTGTAATGTTTGTCAGGTCTGTGTTTCATATGGTGGTTCACCCTATTACCACTTTATGTGTGTGTGCTTATGTATGTCTGTGTGCACACTTGCAACCAGTTTTCCATCTTTCTTTTAGTTCCTCTTTTAAACAGGGCCAGTGTTTTTCTCTTTCACAATATCTGAATTTGTGTACGCAAACACACACACACAATGAGAGATGCTTTCTGATTCTTTCACTTTGTGAAATGCCTTGAGGGTTAAGACTTGGTTTTAAGGTTCACATTAGAATTAGGGTTAGGTGAAGAATTAGGGTTAGGCATTTAGTTCCAATGGTTACAGTTAGGGGCTAGGGGATACATTACGTCAATGAGTGTCCTCACAAAGACAGAACTTCAAGGACAAGTTGTATGTGTGTGTGTGTGTGTGCGCGCGTAGGTGTGTGAGTGGGATGCCACCGGCTGGCTGATAGACACAATAGAAACAAAGACCTCAGCTGTTCCCTCCTCCTCCTATCAGCCAGAATCTCTCACTATAAAGATCCTGCACAAAAACACAATCTGCGTTTCTCAATACTATGTATATTTATACTGCACATATACTGCTGTGAAATGTACAGTGGTGTGAAAAAGTATTTGCCCCCTTACTGATTTCTTATCTTTTTGCATGTTTGTCACACTGTAATGTTTCAGATCATCAAACAAATTTAAATATTAGTCAACGATAACACAAGTAAACACATCATGCAGTTTTTAAATGAAGGTTTTTATTATTAAGGGAAAACAAAATCCAAAACTATATAGCCCTGTGTGAACAAGTGTTTGCCCCCCTGTCAAAACACTGGTTTATCGCACCTGAGTTCAATTTCTCTAGCCACACCCAGGCCTGATTACTGCCACACCTGTTCGCAATCAAGAAATCACTTAAATAGGACCTGCCTGACAAAGTGAAGTAGACCAAAAGATCCTCAAAAGCTAGACATCATGCCGAGATCCAAAGAAATTCAAAACCAAATGAGAAAGAGAATAATTGAGCTCTATCAGTTTGGAAAAGGTTATAAAGCCATTTCTAAAGCTTTGGGACTGCAGCGAACCACAGTGAGAGCCATTATCCACAAATGGCGAAAACATGGAACAGTGGAGAACCTTCCCAGGAGTGGCCGGCCGACCAAAATTACCCCAAGAGCGCAGCGACAACTCATCCAAGAGGTCACAAAAGACCCCACAACAACATCCAAAGAACTGCAGGCCTCACTTGCCTCAGTTAAGGTGAGTGTTCATGACTCCACCATAAGAAAGAGACTGGGCAAAAATGGTTTGCATGGCAGAGTTCCAAGACGAAAACCACTGCTGAGCAAAAAGAACATAAAGGCTCGTCTCAGTTTTGCCAGAAAACATCTTGATGATCCCCAAGACTTTTGGAATAATACTCTGTGGACAGACGAGACAAAAGTTGAACTTTTTGGAAGGTGTGTGTCCCATTATGTGTGGCGTAAAAGTAACAGCGCATTTCAGAAAAAGAACATCATACAAACAGTAAAATATTGGTGGTGGTAGTGTGATGGTCTGGGGCTGTTTTGCTGCTTCAGGGCCTGGAAGACTTGCTGTGATAAATGGAACCCTGAATTCTGCTGTGTACCAAAATATCCTGAAGGAGAATGTCCGGCCATCCGTTTGTGACCTCAAGCTGAAGCGAACTTGGGTTCTGCAGCAGGACAATGATCCAAAGCACATCAGCAAGTCCACTTCTGAATGGCTGAAGAAAAACAAAATGAAGACTTTGGAGTGGCCTAGTCAAAGTCCTGACCTGAATCCAATTGAGATGCTGTGGCATGACCTTAAAAAGGCAGTTCATGCCCGAAAACCTTCCAATGTGGCTGACTTACAACAATTCTGCCAAGATGAGTGGGCCAAAATTCCTCCACAGCGCTGTGGCAGACTCATGGCAAGTTATCGAAAACGCTTGATTGCAGTTGTTGCTGCTAAGGGTGGCCCAACCAGTTATTCGGTTTAGGGGGCAAACACTTATTCACACAGGGCTTTGTAGTTTTGGATTTTGTTTTCCCTTAATAATAAAAACCTTCATTTAAAAACTGCATGATGTGTTTACTTGTGTTATCGTTGACTAATATTTAAATTTGTTTGATGATCTGAAACATTACAGTGTGACAAACATGCAAAAAGATAAGAAATCAGTAAGGGGGCAAATACTTTTTCACACCACTGTATATAATGCATATTGTGAACTGAGCTGTACACAGTATGTTCCCGATACTCTATCTGTATTAGTGGGACAAGTGCAGAGAAAAGAGAGACAGAGGGAAGTTTTCGATGATAACACTCTTGTGGCTATTAATATGGTACTGACAACCATCAAAACCCAAAATGCCACACTGTGCCCCATATGCTTATCTTGTTTGCCAAGTAAACAGAAGACCACAAGTAAACTGTAAAACATCAGAGAGTGCATTTGAACAAAATGTGCATCTCCATTATTATTAGCATCACTGCCTTAATCTGCCCCCTGTACTCTGTGAGGAAACTTGCATAAATACTTACTTCTAAGTAACAAATAAAAACTTGTAAAACTAAAGGAAGTTCAGCTGGTAACACAGTTCCACAATTACAGTCAGTTTGTGGCCCATGTAATAACATGTACATTTTTTTGGATTTGAATCATGTAAACTCTGGTTTCTTTGGTCAGTGAACTGCAGTCATCTTAGAACTGTTACACTGTGACCTCAACAGATTTTATATTGTTGTGGGACTTTGTCAGTTAAAAGCTAAGAGTATTAAAATTAAATCTTTCTTTGTTTTCTTAAGAATCAGGTACATTTATTATGGATGGGTATTTTAGGTCTCCCCAAAATTCAAAAGAACACAACTAATAGAAAATCCATTTGAAAAACACCCTGTTTTCAATTTTCCAAATGCCATATTTTCTATTTGGAAAACACAACATTTTCATTATTTTTTTTTATTGCACCACAAAATGGTACATTAACAGGAGAGAGGACAGGACATGGAAGGAAAGACAAAACATGTAGGGGGTTTTACATTTAGTTTGTGTGTATAATGTGGCTGTGTTCAACTCAACAAACAAATGTTGCATTAAATAAAATAAATGAGAGAATTAAAAATGAAATTATTTAATGAAAATTAAGTGATGTTTATTCATCACACATACTCTTAAACAATATGTCAAAGTCATCAGTGTTTTCAGCAATAACTGAATAGGAAAAAAACACAGACAAGCAGGGAGAGAGAGAGAGAGAAGTGAGATTAACACCTGGCACTACCCACAAAAGTGCCTGTTGTGTGTGCGTGTGTAGCATCAGACTGTCTGCACATGGTAACTTTATTCTGGTCCTGGCACACAACAGTGGTGGTCTGCATGTGTGTGTGATTGCAGCAAGTGCAGTGTTGAGTGAGCCCTACTTGGGAGAACAGGAGGGTGGAAAGAGAGAAGAAGAAATCTTAATACTAATGAACAAATTTTTCTTCCTGTTTTCCATTTTATTCTATATTCTGGTATCTTTTCTTTTTCTCATCCTCTCCTCATCTATCCTGCCCCTATGTCTTTTCCTGTATTTATTCCCTTTCACTTTTTTATCCTCCTTTTCTCTCTTAGGGAAGAGTTTCACTTTGACCATCACAGTGTTCACCAATCCCCCTCAGGTGGCCACATACCAGAGAGCCATTAAAATTACAGTGGACGGTCCTAGAGAGCCACGACGTGAGTTACACTGACACACAAATGCTGACTTTTTCCTTCTTGGTAGATAGTAACAAGTGGAGTCCCACGAGGATTAATTGTATGGAGACAAACTTGGTATTATCCATGTCCAGCAGGATGCAATCAGTCATCAACAATAAAGGCAGACAGAAAATATTAGAAAAACAAAAAACCAGAGGAACTTCTTCATAGTTCTTAGAACTACTGGACGAAGTACCCCCTTTTTGTGTGTCCACACAGAGGGACCAAGAACGATAACAGTTCATAGAATGCTGTTTCAAGGGAGTTCTTTAGCTCCTACTTCAGGGTAGGTACTCTACAAGTGCACTAACAATCATGAGTTACATACATATACACTAACTTCAAGGAACGCTAAATATCATTTTTAAAAACAGTGTCATGTGTATAGCCATCAGTAGTTATCACCAGTTGCATGGAGACCTGCAGTCCACCAATGGAAGCCTCTGCAGAGGATTAGTGGCTTCTTATATAATTAACATTAGCAACATATAAAGAAAGTACTTACAGGTAATATTGCTATGTGTTAACTGTTGTGAGCTTGTTGTCTTATCCGTAACAATCAGCTGGCTTAGAGCTAGGGTCCTACTGGTGGTGTGAATGCAAAAAGAAAAAAAAGCCTGAAGGTATGTAGTTGCTGGGGAGCTCCTCAGTAGGGTTGTCCCTAGAATTGTTTGGTCTGAAAGTGTCTAAAGACTGCGATATCTTTTTGTTGCAATTGGTTCTTAAAAGCAAACCTTGGTTAATTAGGTATTTTTAGTTATAAGTTAATTTACTTCTTTTTTGTTAGTTTTGAATAAAAACAAATGGAACTGTATTAAATGGACAAGATTTGTCATTTAAAATATCAATTATACACAAACATTTTAGTGATATTGACTAGGTTAGTGGTCACTTCTGATATATGTATACTGTATATACACACAGATAAGAAAAGCTTTCTTTTTTCATCCATGCCCACTGGAGTATGACAGCTGCATAGTAACTTTTTAGGAGCCAACAATTTATTATAAGCCAACAAGTGTATATAAAGAATATTGTTGCTTCTTGGTCACAATGGTGGTCTCTGTCAAAATCAGTTGAAAACCTCTGTTTTAAAGTTAATAAACCAAGTAACTATAAAATCATTGCAGACCGAACTCTTTGCTGAGTGAGTCAATAAGGAACCTGATGCAACACTGACTTCCTTTCCCACTCAATGTCATGAAACATGGGGATTTCTAAAGGCAGATGACAGCACAAAGAGAAAGCTATGTCATAAGAATAATACTCATTCATGTTAAACAGAAGCGATGTGAACTGAGCGACACTGGTCAGCACAGTCAGGGGAGACACAAGTTGACAGACAAATAGCAAGACTCCTGCCAGCTCTGCTCAGCTGTGAATAACCATCACTCATCTGTAACTCGCCCACACACACACACACACACACACACACACACACAGTATAAATATGCATACATGCACACTACCCCATTGGGAGGAAGTGCCTGTAACTGGAGCTCAGTCTCTGGTCTTTGAAGTGCAGCCAACACCACAGACAGTGTGACAGACCACCACACACAAACACACACACACACACACACACACACACACACAGACAGCCAGACCCCTAAGCAGCACCCATTGTCAGATTCCCAAATGCAATAGCAGACAGAGCGTGTTAACAAAGTCAGGACAATGTTATAGCCTGTGCTGAGTTATTACTGTTACTATACCTGGATTATGTAATCAGTAATCTGATGACAAATCACCCCTAGTTTTAGATTCAGTCTGCAGAAACTTGGTGTTGGGGCTTTATTATACTGTAAAGTAATCATCAGAAATAGCAACAATTTCCTCTAATCTCTCTTGCAGGTCATCGTCAGAAGATGGACGAGGGCAAACCTGGCTCTCTGGCTTTCTCTGAGAGATTAACAGAGCTGGAGCAGTTGAGACGGAGCTCGATGAGGGTGACACCTCCTCACCATCATCACCATCAGCATTCGGCTAATAGTCGCCAATCTGCAGCACTCAACTCTGCCACATTCTCCAGCCCCACACTCCCTCAGATAACCACTGGTAAGAGGCAAAAGCCAATGGTTACATTTATGTCAGCCTTTGAAGCTATTGTAAATTACACCTACCAAACACTGTCATCCTTATCCCTTCAAATGAAGCATTCACGTAGATCTTCAAAAATTACGATATATTCACAAGAATTACTCCCCAGACAAAGTTATAGCCTACTTCATGTGTTCTTTGTGGAAGCTAACCTTATCAATGGCTGTTAACTACTGTCCTGGGTTGATGGTACAGAGAAATATCCAATCAATTAACATTCACTCTGATATGTCGCCTTTTTTTAACTTCATTCATCTTAGGCGCTCCACAGAAACACTTAGATGCCACACCCAAGCCTTTCTATGGTAGGGTAAACCCTGAGAATTATAATAGAACTGGAGTTACAGCCAGGTAGTGTATAATATTATCTTGATACTAAAAAAAAAGGGTATGTTTACACATTCATTCATACAGAGCACTGATAGCAGTGAGCACAAGGTCTGCATTGTAATTGCTTGCTAGATGTCTGTTGCTGCAAAGAAGAAGACTACTCAGAGTGTTTATGGTTGTTGTCTCCACATTAAGCAAACATGACCAACATCAGGAACATGTGCAGTAAAGCTCAAGCTGCCAGTCATAGTTGTCCTCTGTGTTTATGTGTGTTTCCCAAACTTGTGCATTCAGCTCACATCAAACCTCATTGTTCTTGTGGTTTTAGTGAGATCCCCTGTGGTCTCTGTGTGTACTGTGAGTGTGTGATGCTGTGGATACACCAAAAGATAGTAACTGTTCCCCTTCTGCCTTCAGTGGTAGTGATGCTATGAGTGAGTATTTACGCATGCAAGCACAACTGCTGAAGGCAGTTAGAACCTGTTTTTTCTTACGTGAACATTTGCATGTGTGTGGTGTCTGTAAGTGAGGAAGCAAGTGAGGCCTTAAGGAGGAAATGAGAGTCAGCTAGCAGGAAGTGCTGTGTACTGTGAGAAAAAAAATATTAAAAGTAAATATATAACTTCAGAATTTGAAAGAAAAGCATCTTCTAATCACAATTTGATTTATTTTCAAGTGTTGTACACCACTGATATCATGCATATTACTGTATTAACTGTCATATTAATTAACACTGGCTGTGTAAGGGAAGCCTTGTATAATTTAGATTTCAATTTAAGGAATATTATACAATTGTGCAAATTGTCCTTTGACCTTTTTTTTCTGCCATTCCCCATCCATGATTGGACCCACAATTGAACCCTGTGGGACTCCACTTGTTATTATCTACCAAGAAGGAACAAGTCAACATTTGTGTGTGAGGGAAGGAGAAACAGAAAGGTAGCTTTCAGTGCTTCCTGATTTCTTTGTTTTTCTGATCATTCTACAAACGAAAACAACAGAATGAGAACAACAGAAATCAGTTATGAAGCCATTCAAGACTTCATTCCCTTCCCCCCTTGTTTACATTTCTCTTGACAATCTGTCCCATGCCCCTGCTAAGCTTTAATTTCTTTTTTGATTTGTCTTCCTTTCTTTCACTTCTCTAAAATGTCTAAGTAGTAAATACTTTATATATAGTTTCACTGTGTTTAAGTCGGTATGCATTTAATATGTATGGGTGTATGAACATTTGTGTTCATACTGTACACGTGTAGCAGTACTGTAAATGTACTCTGTTACACACTTTTAACAGACCCTGACAAAGGCTCTGTGCCAAAACGCATTGGTCTTTACATTAAAGTTGCTCTAAACACTGCAAGTATTTCCAGTACATTTTGCCCCAAGCTTCCTAACAGGTTCATGGTGCTACAATTGGTCTGCTGTATAGTTACCAGCCACTGTTGATTCTCCAGAGAAAAGCCATCACCGTGTAACAAATGACAGGTAGCTGTGAAAACTAACCACAACTTTTCATGAGCTAACCCAGTTTTCATCTTTGTGACAATACATTTTTAGACAATCCACTGGGTTTTTAAATGGCTTAGGTTACAAACCAACCCAAAAAGAAGCACTAAATCCTGGAGTTCATCTGAAAAAGTTGGTAATGCATAGTTTTCACGAAGTACCAGACTACAAATCTTTCTTATTCCAAATCACATGATATGCATGCCACAAAAATTCCTTGAGTTTTTTTGCAATGTTAGTAAGTCTACAACACCAACTAAAACCATTTAATAATAATAAATTGAACAAATATTTTAAATATTGATCAGTTTTTAAACAAATATGCAACCAGTCTGACTGCATCATGTCAGAAGTCAATGACACTGACTGCACTAGGCCTCATTTTAATAGAGATAAATGTCACATTATTTTTGAAATTAACCAGAAAACAGCACAAAATTGATTTCTATGTGTTGTACTTCTGTTTACAAACAGCCAGCCATTTCTGTGACCCCTGGCCCACAGAAGTGCACTCTGCCCAGGGAGGGCAGCCAGGAAAGGACGGGGCTTGGCACAGGGCCTTGGCTTTACCACCACACACACACACACACACACACCCACACACCCACGTCAGTGCTTAGGCCAGCACTTGGCAAGAATTTAAAAGCCTTCATTGACATCTTGGCTGCTGTGTACAGTTTGCTGACTCATCTGTCTGCACATACGTACACACTCTGGTCTGTAAGTCTGTGGGTGATCAGTGCTAGTTATTAGACTGTGGGGAAAAAGACAGGATTGAATGAAAGAACTCACACACAGCCCTCCCCTTCATCTATTCACCCCCATACCAAGCTAATTGCTTCCTTTCCCCTATCTCTCTTTCTTCTGTTTCTTTCACTATCACCAGCTTCTGTGTCAAGACAAAGTAGCGCATTCTGCATAAATCATGCATTTAAACATTTTATTATATATTTATAATATAATATATAATATGCATTTCTGAGCATTTTTCATTTGCTGAAAAAAGTTGTGGGATACTATAGAAGAGGATTAGGGCCATTGTAATATTAAGTTCTGACTTTTTTCTCAAAATTCAGACTTTAAAGTATGTTTTTAAAAGTCAAAATTGTGAGTTTAAAGTCAGAACTCAATTTTTTTTTCTTTCTTTTTTTTTTTTTTTTTTTTTTTACAGTGGCCCTAATCCTTTTCTGTAGGATATATTCATAACCTCTGGGAAAAGCCTCAAATACTTTTGAGTAGCATTATGGGAATTGTAGGATCAAGTTTATTTGGAGCTTGACCCATATTAAAAGTCAGGATATCTCTGCCTCTTCTGCTTCAATTTCAACCATTCTTTTTAAAATCTCTCTCTTTATAGAGATATAATACTAATTTTCTGAAGTACCCCCTCGGGAAATAAAGATGGCTTCTGCAGCACAGGGCAGGCTCAACCAGAAACAACCTCTCACAACTTTCAAATTACAGTGATAAAAAAAAAACTGCTGGTTCAAAGCTCTGAAGGTTTCAATGATTAATCTCTCACCTCTCTCAGACTCCAGACAGATGCAGCCATCTCCATCTTGGTCCTATGACCAATCATATCCCTACCTTGGCCAAATAACAACACCCACTGTGCACACAGCCAATCCCCTTTCACCTAATCGCTCTTCACTCAGTGAATTATCTTCACGACTCACAGGTAACACACACCAAGTATGGACACACACAGAACAGAAATAAGTGAGAAAATAAGTGTTTTGTAACCCTTGACCATTGCCCTCCTCAGGTCCTGACCTCACAGCCTTCAGCGACCCCAGGATGACCTTAGAGCGACCTTTCACTTCCCTTCCTTCCCTGCCTGACTCCCGCTTCTCTGACCCGCGGGTCCACTATCCTCCAACAGCGGCTGCATTCACCTACAACCCTTCCCACAACCCTGTCTCCAACAGTGCCCTTGGCATCACCATGGCAACAGCCATGGCGACTACCCCAGCTGGGAGATATCACACCTACCTGCCTCCTCCTTATCCTGCAAACACCCCCCACCAGGGTCAGAATGGGCCATTCCAGTCCACCTCCTCACCCTATCACCTGTACTACTCCACCGCTGCAGGATCATACCAGTTCTCCATGATGGCCGGAGGAGGTAGCAGTGATTCACGCTCCCCACCAAGGATCCTACCACCCTGCACCAATGCCTCCACAGGCTCATCCCTCCTGCACCCTACTTTGCCCAGTCAGAATGAAGGAATAGGTGTAGAGGTGGAATCCAGCCACAGTAGCTCCCCAACAAACATGGCAACTGCTGAAGCTGTCTGGAGACCTTACTGAATCAGAATGAAGGAGTGGGTGTAGAGGTGGAATCCAGCCACAGTAGCTCCCCAACAAACATGGCAGCTGCTGAAGCTGTCTGGGAGACCTTACTGAACCAGGACACACTGGATGGGACCTACTGAACATGTGATGGTGGACACTGAACACCACTGAGCGCATAGTCAAAAATACATTCTGACGAACTGACATGAGGGATAACAAAAGTCCAGCAACACTTGCAGTGTTTTGAGCAACTTCAATAAGAAGACCAACACCTTTATACACTGAAGGTTGGTCTTCTTGTTAAAGCTGCTCGAAACACTGCGAGTGTTGCTGAACTTTTTGTTTTCCAGTTTGTTTTTCTTTGTATGTGCATCTTGGCAGTGGCTGGAGTTGTGCCAGAACTTTTTGCTGTATCTAGAGTGACATGAGGGGCCATAATACAGATAACACTCAAATTGAACCCACAACTCCTGCTTATAGTTAAGGGATTTTTCAATTGTCAACAAATTCCATGAAAGGACCCAAACCTACAGTATATGGTCACAAATACTGTGTATAATTTATTCCTTTTTTATTGTGTATAGACAGGGTAGGTTCTCTGTGAGGCTGCCTCTCTTTTGCAGGAGCACCCTGGAAGCTGCCTAGTACAACCATAATTTGACCTGCTGGCCACTGAGCAGCTAGGGGTTAAATGGTATTAACTTTGCTCCATGGTGTTAATGAGTTAGGGGAAAGCGTGGCTACATTTCTGACCGAGCGGCAACCTCCGAGGCTGACAAATGGAGCCAACGCCTAAGTGTTAAAACACGAATGTCTATTTGACCCTGGGTCCAAAAGGGAGTCTGTCTCCATAGACTCCCATGTTCACCTATTTAAATTATATTAAGGTTAAGAGTTATGTATAATTAGGGGCATGACTATTTTGAGTGACAGGCAGGAGGGTCCTGGCTGTTAGCTGTCTAGCCAGCTCCACTCACGCTCATTACTTTGCCCAGTTTTGGAACAGCCAGAGTTAGGTGGAGTGCATCATTACCATGATGGCGACCGTCAGACTTGAGCTTCAAAATTGCCTTTCAGAAAGCCAAGGGGTGACATCATGGTCGATTTGTCCCCTAGATTTAATTCTGCCACTCTGGGTATTGAACTAGTGACCTTCTGGTCATAAGCTAGCTTCCATAACCTTTAGGCCGGTGACTCAGAAAACAGCCCATTACTGCAGTTTTAAAAAAAAAATGCTACTCAATAGTAAGGAAAGAAATAATGAATTCTTGGTAACATTTTTCAGCCACAGATTAATTCACATTTGGTGTACTACTGAGTCCAACAGTGGCACAGAAGAGATATGAGTTTGTGGATACAGACAGTACTTGTTAGTAGCATAAATTCATTGTTGGCTTTGGTCTGGACGTGGGACTGGAACGCGAATATAGACAGACTTATCCTTCAAGGGAGATAGTCAAATTCAAACTTAGGCATGTACCATAATGTTTGGTTGAAGAAAACTGCATTTTCTGACAAGATAAATTATTTTACTTTTTTCCCCAATCAATGCTCCCAAGAACAACTGCTAGTTAATAACTGATGGGAACTTCAACACATCAACAGTGAGCATGGAGAAAACAAAATCCATAAAATCCATAAAAGCTCTATATTGGTTGTCACCTACTGAAACACCCCACCCTCACCACCACCAACAACTGAGTGTGGTGAGTGGACCAACTCAGTAAGAGACACAGGACTCCATAGATGATCTATGAAATCAAGGCCACAAGTGGAGAGAAGCAGGGTCACATTTTGGTATTACACTGACAAAGCGTGTCCAGTAGCACTGGACTAATCTCTGTTGAGCTTCCTTTGTAAAAATAAATGTTGTTGGTGTTGTGAATAGATGATTTGCTCATGCCAAATACTTTGGTAACCTGTTTGCGTTTATCATCACCCCTACATCTATCTTTGTTTCCCCTCTACTCCTCTCATTCTTGGTTGACATTTGTTAGAGCTGAGTGTATCACCTCCCGAAGAAATAATGATGTTTTTCATAGCCCCTGTAACCTAGACTTTACCCCAGATTACATACTTATCCCCCATCCATCAAAATAATTGACAGGTCTTAACTATCATCAGGTTTTTATTGTCCTTATTTTTAGCAACTGTTCCATTTTACATTTAGATTACATTCATTCACCAGATGATTTGAGTCCCTGTTATTTTATATATCAAGCAAAATTTGGGGCTCAGTGTCTTACCGAAGGGCACCAACATGAAGGGCTTGAAGTGTCCTTGACACTGATCCCTAGACTGCTCTACACAGGTTAAGAAAGATGACTGAGTACATATTTATTACAGAGTGCCCAAACCAAACTGGATTCTACTGAGAGGCTTTGGTCAGGTTTCTCAAGTTGAAGGTGACTGATTTTGGCTTCCAAACCCTGAGAACACTGAGAAATCACCACAGTATGAAGACACACAATAGTTTTATTTTGTCATTGTTGACAGTGCACATTTGGTTTATGATTTATATAAACATTCTTGTGAAGAAAATACAGCTGTTGTCCTGTGGTTACTTGTCATCTTGTTCTTCAATTTTTCTCTTTATATAAAATTCTCCCCAACTGACACCCAAGTGCCACTCACAAACATAAATACGCATGCACAGACACATCATCCTTTGCTATTCCTGAACCTGAAGGAATTTCTATAAGCACTGCTTTGATGCTTAAGGCACTCGTTTTCTCTCTTTTAGGCAACCAACAAAAATTAAAATTGATTTCCTAAGAGCAGCCATCATTTGGCGCTTGGCTGAGCTTCAGATGTGATTGATGACCCAAAGTAATGACAAATGAGGGAGAAATTAACAGGGAGTCAGAATTTATATAATGTTCTATTAATCACTGTGACAAGGGTACAGAGGTGGTGATGTCAAGGGGGCTGCAAACAACTCCAGCTCCATGAAGGACAACTGATTTATTTATTTATCTATGCATAACTGAGATATTAAAACCAAAGTTAAAATAAAAGACAAATTACCTGAAAACTATGCACATTATACAAAAACGCATGAACTTAATCTGAAAACATTTAGTTTATACCAGTTTTTTAATGATAAACTAAACATAAAAGAGAACTAGCTTCTTAATACATGACATGACTGAATATCACTTTCGCTTTTTCCCGTTTAGGGGTCGCCACAGCACATTATACAAAAACGCATGAACTTAATCTGAAAACATTTAGTTTATACCAGTTTATTAATGATAAACTAAATATAAAAGAGAACTAGCTTCTTAATACATGACATGACTGAATGTCACTTCCGCTTTTTCCGTTTAGGGGTCGCCACAGCGAATCATCATACTGACGACTCGCATGTTGACATTTGGACACCCTTCCTGACGCGACCCTGATTCGAACCCGGGCCGCAGCGGCGAGAGCGTTGCGCCTTAACTACGCGCCTAACAGGAACTATACATGATATACTGTATTTAAACCGGCTGTAAACTCACCACACATGTATTAACGGTACTATAGCTTATATTTCATTTTCCGTTTAAGTACGACATACAATTAATGTTACAAATACAAATGTGTCACTTCTTTTCATGGCATTTGAAGTGTCTTGACTTAGTCAAATCATGGTGAAAACCGCATAATTTTCTTTTAGAAATTATCAGAATATAGTGGCCCAACTCTGAGAACGGTAACGCCCATCTTCCCATGAGAAAAAAAACGCAACACGAGCGGGGCCCTTGCGTCATCACGCTACGCGCCAAATGTAATCGCTGCGGAAGGGGTAACAACAGTGGAGCATTTGTTTTTGAAGTTTTGTCATTGCATTTCGGATATTGTGCTAAACTGTCCATCTTAAGTATGTCTCAGCAGGCAGGATATTCGCCGAGCTTCAAGCTACCGGCTGAAATTATGCGAATAAGGAGGAAACGAGCCCGAAGTAATACCGGTGACTTCTGTAGCCCAAGCGGCCAGGATTCCTCTAGCAGTCCCGTACAAAGCGGCTCATCTTCGGCATTCGTTCGACCTTTCTCCCCGGGACCACCTTTTAACAGCCCGAATCGCTCTGTCGGTGGAATAAAACGCAGAAACCCATTCGCAAATACTGAAAATGCTGACAGCCCTAAAAAGAAACTTATTACTTATAACGACGACAAGGATACCGAATGTTCCGCAAGTTACCACATAAACAAATCAGCAGAGAAGGAGGGGGATGAGGACATGTCAACAAATTCACCTTTTAGTGCAAGTTTGTCCAGGGCAGAAACACTGGATACTCCTAGCAAGGTTAGTTACAACAGTATGACTCGGCACGTCAATGCGGAGAGAGGAGGTCCCCGAATGAAAAAATCCCTCAATGGCCGGTGTGTTTACGTAGTTTCTACATTAAGGATAGCAGCATAGAGGCGAAACATTATTTGCTGTGTGTTTGTAGCGAACAATAAATCACACAAGAACACACATTTGCAGTGTGAGTTATAACTGTCAAACTCAATTCATGCTAAATACATTAAGACTGCAAGACTATGGCCTCCATTCAGTTCATTAACACTATATTCAGTATATTACAGCAATACATTTAAAGCACACCAGAGACTATATAATGCAGTAACGTTAAATAAGCATGTTCTTACCTTCCGTTATTTAAAAACAGCCTATAACGCAGTCATGGCACAGGAGGCCTCTTTCATGTTATTCCGTGCTCTGCTTTTGTCCAATGTCCATTTGACATGCTTGACCTCGTCTTCAGACTGGCTTGTACAGGCCTTTTCATTAACAGTTGTAGGCGTTAAAACTAGATCCAGCTTGGCCTGTTAAGCTTCAGTTTCTAACTATCTTCACCCTGCTGCAACTTGACATACTTAAGCAAATTCACCGTCTTTTTCGCATTTCCACTCCATGGCTAAAAGTTACACCTGTGCACCTGACCCAATGTGACCTCCGCGTGCGGGTTACGTTGTGACGTATTTAGCCTAATTGCCTGTTTTGTTGTATTTAACCATTCTATTTGTATTGATGCTGATTCAGTATCCACACCTTGTTTTCCTGGTCTTTATTATTGTATGGATGCTGATTCAGCATCCATACTATGTTATCCTGATCTTTATTATTCTGGTTTCTTCCATCCGTTTTTTGGCACTTAATTTTTTCAGCATACTTTCAGCTATGAAAACCATTTAGGTATCGACATGTTCATCGATTTAAGGACATTTATGCTATTATTTTTTTTGTTTCTAACCTTTATACTTTTTTAACTATTTAGTGTATTTCAGCAAAATTTTGCCCATTCAAATCAATGGGAAAATTTTACTTCAGCATACTTTCAGCTATTTCAGCTATCAGAATGTTCAGCTCTTCAAGGACATTCATGCTTCTCTTCAGAATTTTTCTAAACTTCATACTTTAAAAATATTTAGCTTTATTTTGAAAATCTTGCCCTATTCAAATGAATGGGAAAATTCAACCTCAGCATATTTTCAGCCCTTTCAGCTATCAAAATGTTCAACTCTTCAAGGACATTCATGCTTCTCTTCAGAAGTTTTCTGAACTTCAATTTTTTTTAAATATTTAGCTTTATTTTGAAAAATTTGCCCCATTCAAATGACTGGGAAAATTCTTCAGCACACTTTCAACTATTTCAGCTTTCAAAATGTTCAGCTCTTCAAGGACATTCATGCTGCTATTCGGAACTTTAGTAAACTTCATACTTTTAAAATATTTAGATTTATTTTGAAAATCTTGCCCCATTGAAATGAATGGGAAACTTCTACTTCAGCATACTTTCAGCTATTTCAGCTATCAAAATGTTCAGGTCTTCAAGGACATTCATGCTTCTCTTCAGAAGTTTTCTGAACTTCAAATTTTAAAAACATTTAGCTTTATTTTGAAAATCTTACCCCATTCAAATAAATGGGGAAATTCAAACTTCAGCATACTTTCAGCTAGCATAAGCATTCAGGTGTCAAAATGTTTAGCATTTTCAGGGCAATTTTTAGCACTCAGCATCCATACGCATTTTCTTCCAAAAATGCAATTTTTTAGTTATAGTCTAATATACTGTTGTGAAAGACTACTTGTACCAAAAGTAGTAGACTTTACCAGGGGTGTCTAACTCAGTGGCACAGGGGGCCAAAACTCAAAGCACACTTTAGGCTGCGGGCCGAACAGGTTAAAAATTTATTGAACAGACTAAAACTAAACTTTTTTTTTTTTACATAATATGAATCAAAACAGGCAGGATACAATATTCCAAAATAAATTAATTTAAAATCAGCAACCGTATTTCTGCTAAGGTTTACATTTGCAAGCAAACACCTGCTTTTTGTCTCGACACAAGATGTCGCACACTTTCATCATGCAGCTCTTCAGAAACTCTCCCTCGGTAAATGGCTGGGCTGATTTGCTATGTCCTCTGCCACAATAAAACTTGCTTTCACAGTAGCTTCAGCTGCTTTGGTGAAAACGTCTGCTGTGATGTCAGATTCCTCTTCAACTCCTCTACCTTCTGTAGCTTCTGCTCTGCATTCACGTTTTTCAGCTTGTCCTGATGTTTTGTCTCGTAGTGCCATCTTAGGTTATATTCCTTAATTACAGCCACATTAGCTCCACAAATAAGACACACGTTTGCGCTGCATTATGGGATTTGTAGTTTGTGTGTTATCGGCGCTTCATATCGCCGGGCCATTAAAAAGGATTTATAAAATGATCTTGCGGGCCAGATGTAATTGTACGCCGGCCTTGAGTTTGACATGTGTGCCTTAGGCCTTTTATATGTAATTCATATATTCAATTTCTTTCATACCGTATGTAAATGATGTGCGGGTGTTTTGCCAGGTTATGCTATCTATCCTGACTGCGACCTACGCCTCACAAAGTTGTCAGGGATGGGGGCGGGGCTAGTGCATCCATAGACCGCTACTAAGGAGGCACATCTCCACAAAGTAGCACATTTTGAAAGTCTGTCAGCCTGTCGGTCAAAATAGGTGCCTGTCACAATTTGAGATGTCCCAGTGTTCTGTCGATCCATGCTACCTTTCGATTTGTGCTATACAAAGTGTTTCTCTAGATCTTTCCTATTGTTCTCTTTGTATGTGCTCAGTGGTTTAAATACATGTTAAAAATGTCTGTTCCCAGAGTCCCCAGGCCATCGCTCCTGCCTCCATAGTTCCTCCTGTTTGCACAGAGTATCCAGCAGACTGGAGCCTGAAGACTCGCCTCCTCTTCACCTCCCCACTCTCCCTATCATGGGCTGAGCATCCCAAAGCCCAGGAGGAAGCTCTGGGGCTCAGCCAGCACTGCAGAGCTCAGTTTAGCGCCCTGCCTCCCAGTCTACAAGTAAAAATTTGTCATGGCACATTACATTGGAGTGATGGATTTTAATCTCAAGTGCCATGTTTAGTGAGAATTATTTCTGTCTGTTCCCCTTTCGCAGGATCCCAGGTTCTGTTCAGAGCTTCGTTGTGCCTTTCTCCAGAGTCTGGTGTACTGGCAGCATCCCTCCCTGCCCTGGATTTCTCTGTTTCCTAGGATCAATGCTGAGAGGAGCTTTAGTGGGAAGATCACCCCCTGGGCACAAGACACAGCACTGCAGCAGAGCCTAATGAATGAATGGTGAGGCTAGAGATATTAGTTTTAGCTGCACTAGCATCATGGGTCAGAAGAGTTAAAGTTGGTCGGTCCATCCATCAGTGTAATACTTTGATCCAAGCTGGTTTGATGCTGACTCCCAGCCAGGATTTTTTGGCTACTCATAATTTTCACATGATATCACATCGTTATAGGACTGCCCACCTTGATCCTGAAACTAACAACCCATGGATCAACTTTAGGTAGCTAGTTAACACTTTATCAATGAAGAGTCCTTCACTTCCTAAATGGCAGCATTATTGTCCCATCCACATCAAAAATAAATCTAGTTGTCAGGGTTTCCCTACCATATAAAGGTTTAAGAACACCTAAGCACCTAAATGTTTTTGTGTTGTGCCTAAGCTGAATGAATGTAAAACGTATCTGTAGATACATCTGCAGAAATGTCCTGTAACAAGCAGGAGTGAGAACACAGAGTCAGCTCAGCGTCTTTGTTTAGTTTCCCTCAGAATGATGGCTTCACAGCACTCTGTTTCTCTCTCCCCCACAGGTCCATCAGTCTGTCTTCTCTCTACAGTTTATTGAAAGCCAGGCTGTGTCCTTACTTCTACCTCTGCTCCTATCAGGTTTGTTTTTTATTTGTCATTTGGGAGCTGAGGCCTATTTGGACTGTAGCTATCTCGTTACAGCTAATTGTATGGATGCTGATTCAGCATCCATACCATGTTATCCAATTATTGCATGGATACTGAGTCAGCATCCATACCGCATCCATACCTTGTTTTCTAAATCTTTATTATTATTATTATTGTATGGATGTTGACTCAGCATCCATACAATAATATGTGCAAGTTACACCACAGTCTTAAACACCTCAAGCTCAATATTTCTACAGTGGAAAGTAATACTGCTAAAATAAAAAAAAAATAAAAAAAATTAGATTATGAGGAATAACCTGTTTTCAGTTTAAGCTTGGTCATTTTGTACAAGAGCCCAAATTACAGAATACGTTTGTTAGTTTCACAGGTTATGTTGGTTAGGGGTTCATTTACGAATTGTCTAATCACTACCACTTTAACTATTTTAAGTCAGTTGGTATCTGTTAACTGCTGTTAACTACTTAAATATATATCACACTAAATAGTTAGACATTATGATCTTTTGAACCTTAGCTTCAAGAATTTTTTTCTAATCAAACCTTTTTAAATTTTAAAATGTGAAATTTGTACACAGTTTAAAAACTAATTTTATCAACAGAGTTATTACAGTTTTTATCATTTAGAATATTGAGTCATTCCATTTAAAAGCTTTTCACATTGTAGTTACACCTGGGTTAATACCTCATTAGTTCACAGTTTCAGAGAGACCATCAAGATCACCATGGGGAAAATTGTTTCTCAGTCAAATCATAGTGATGTTGATATTGTGAAGACTGCTTTGAAAAATCAGAGCATAGATTTCACAATGTGAAATTTTGCTATTTCAGGTATTGTTACAATATATGACTGCTGTGTATTCCAAAGGTTGACATTAGCCCAAGGATAAAACACACAAATGTTCAGCTCTTTGAGGACATTCATGCTTCTATGCAGAATTTTTCTAAACTTCAAGCACATGCTTTTCAAAATTTAAAGTGTTTATTTTGTCATATGCAGTTAGGAAACGTGTTTCCCTGTACAATGAAATTCTTACTTTGCTGTCCACATGAATGCCACAAAACACAAATGAAATATAAAGTAGATAAATAAGTAACAAAATCTAAGGCACTTTAACAGCAACAGATGCAGCAATATAATAAAAAAATAAGACCTGAGCTCTAGTTTCATATGCATTTTTTATTTCTCTTTGCTATTTGGGCTTATTGGAACCTGA